TGGAAGACCGCAGATTAAAAATTAGAGAGATAGCCGAGATTATAGGCATCTCTTATGAACGAACTCAAAACATCATTGTCAACGAGTTGGGTTTCCACAAGGTGTCTGCGAGGTGGGTTCCGCGACTGCTTTCAGTTGAACAAAAAAGGACGCGATTGACTATTTCACGCGACTGTTTGGAGTTATTTGAAGCCGATGCAGATGATTTTTTGAATCGTTTTGTTACTATGGACGAAACATGGGTTCATTACTGTACACCGGAAACAAAACAACAATCAAAACAGTGGAGAAGACCTGGTTCACCACCCCCTAAAAAGGCTAAGTCGATTTTGTCGGCAAATAAGGTGATGGCTTCAGTATTCTGGGACTCGAAAGGTGTGAGTGATTATGATTGATTATCTTGAAAGGGGTCAGAATATAAACTCTGATTACTACTGCACCTTACTACGTCGTTTACGAGAGGAAATAAAAGAAAAACGTCGAGGAATGCTCAGAAGAAAAGTCCTGTTTCATCAAGATAATGCCCGTGTTCACACGTCAGTACAGTCAATGGCTGAAATTCACAACTGTGGCTTTGAACTGTTACCGCATCCGCCGTATTCACCTAATCTGGCACCATCAGACTTCTTTCTGTTCCCTAACCTAAAAAAGCACTTGGGAGGTCAAAGATTTTCGACAAACGACGAGGTCAAAGCAGCTGTAGACGCATATTTTGACTCTAAGGAAGAATCATTTTTTTTCAACGGTCTAAATGCTTGGAAGGGGAGGTGGCAAAAGTGTATTGAACTTGATGGTGATTATGTAGAAAAATAAAAATATAACTGATTTAGTATGTGTTTATTTTCTTGGTTAGGCCGAGTACTTTTCAATCCACCCTCATATTTTCTTTAATATACGTATAAATTACACTAAAACATAATCAAATATTTGATTCTACAACTAAATATACTAAACAATAAACAAAAATATTTATACAATTGCATACAAAAATCTATTTACATAAACAGTGTTAAAAAAAACTTTAAAATTCACCAGTACGTCGCTCGGCTAAAACGCGCAAGCCCTGACTGCGTATGTAACCTGAGGTTCTGCGCGATTGTAAAAACTTACTTCATTGGTTTACTTCAAGCTTCCTTCGTTGGCGCGCGAGATAATGTTTCCTAAAAAAATTTGAAATTCACCAGTACGTCGCTCGGCTAAAACGCGCTAGCCCTGACTGCGTATATAACCTAAGGTTCCGCGCGATCGGAGGCATTTATTTCACGCAGCTAGTAAGTGACAACCCCGACCGGGTTCCCACCTTGTCGTGGCAGGGAGGCTTATTAGTCGTGGCTTGCTCACCCGCGGTAAATAAAGACAAACCCACATGACTAGCCCGTGGTGTAGGGCCGGCCCAAGGAGGCTACTTCGAGTGGGCTTTGTAAGCCTACCCTCCGCAGTCGAATCTATAGACCAGATCCGTCGCTGGGGTCGAGAAAGCTAGTGCTTCCATGTGCTCGTTTTTCCTCGCCCCATAGCCTCCGTGTATATCGGACTCGGGGGAGTCCGTTTCGCAATTGCAAGAGCCCGTGGAGGAGGAGACGCGCCTTGTGTTCCTGGTGCGCCTTACCTGAGAAGCAATGGGGGGAGGAGAAATCCTCCTCAAGGATCGGCTACCGATGTAAGGCTGCGGATGTGTTCAAAAACGCTCCCGTGGCCCTGTCAATATGCGGCGAAGGTGGAACACCGTGTGGTTTTAGTCGGTGCGAGTCCGACGTAAACCATCCTTGTCCCCGCTAGATGGGTATGCGTAGGCATATCTCCATGAAAAAAAAGGTAACAAGTGACAGAGGCCTGGTAAAGGCAAGTAAGCGTGACAGAAGACCACGCGGACTTACAACGGATACTTTGACATTACAACCAATGACACCTTTGGCACCGCTGTTGCATCTTACTTTGCCGTAAGAATATTATGTCAACTAACCAAGGAAGAAACGAAAGACTATCCTGACACTGCATCTGTAATAAAAACATATTTTTACGTGGGCAATTTAATGTCTGGGAATGAAAATAAGCAAAGACTAAAAGGATGTGCGAAGAAATTAGGATGATTATAAGAAAAGGGGGCTTCGAAATGAAGAAATGGTCCAGCAGTTGAAGAAGTATTTGATTTTTTACAAGAAAAGGCAATGCAGTATGAAAGAAAAATTAGATATAAAACTAGACAAGGCTTGACATGGGATAGAAAGGATAATAAATTTAAAATAACTGTAAACTTAACTGAAGTACATTGTCCTATAACAATGAGATCAGTATTTTCTATCCTTCACTTTAAACCTAAGGCTCCGAACTTCGGTGATTTATGGAAGACTGGTGTGAAGTCCAAATATTGTGATAAACCGTTCCCTATCAAAGTTAAGGACTAGTAGGATATTTTGCACCATGTTAAAAAAATACATATTTATGATAGATTTTGTAAAAATTAAGCGAGATATGTTGATTTCTACATTATAAATTTTATAAATCCATTTTTAGAATATTTTTTAATCTGTGCCTCAAATCTCCAAAACGCTATCCACCATATTAGATTCCGTCGTGACGTCACTGATAAAGTAAACAAGCTAATGTGCCATAGATGTAGTATAAAAATCAACTGCAGTTTATGTTATATCTATGGCACCACCTTATGACGTTTTGTTTTGTATGAACGATAGTTAACCGGTCACGCGTCGACATTTTATTGGACCAACTTAGTCAGACCAAAGAGTATAGCAGGTCAGGCCAAGAACAATATAATTTTTAAATAAAGGTAAATATAACTTAAGAGTCGTTTTGCTAATTAATTTTACTATGTCCCTATCCTAAAATAAAAAAAATATCAACAATTAAAATATCGAATTATTTGTATGAAGATCAAGTGAGCGTTAGAGAAACGACGATTGCAAGTCGATAAATAAAATGTTTTGAAAAGTTATCAATTACCGTGTAGTGGCGGTGTATGAATATCTACACCACCCCGTGGGTCTCGTATGAGGCGACTAGACTTGGCGTCATTTTTAAATAACCGTGACAGCCGTTCCGGTTAAAGTAAGCAGCTGTCCCGGCGGGAAGTATCGCCGCACCTTTGCAAGGACTCCCAGCTTCCTTACAGCTGCTTTGGCCTTGGACTCAATGAACCGCCCGAAGTTCATATTTGAGGATATCTCAACCCCCAACAACTGAAAGCGGTCGGTGTACTCCAGTTATACATTTCGGAAGGAAGGAGCCAAAGAGCTGGCTCCTTTTTGCAATGAAGAGACACGCTTGTATTTTGGAGGCGTTGAATTTCACAATATTGGCATCGCCTCATTCGGAGACTGCCTATAGTGTGACATTCACACGCTCTACCATACTTTCTCTTTCGGACTGGATTTGAGCCTGACTGGTCCGGGGGCTTTGTTGGTATCTCTCCACAACTGTGCTATCGTCTGCATACCCGTAGATACCGGGCATAAGCAGATCATTAGTTTGCAGCAGGAAGAGAGTTGCGCAGAGGACGGACCCCTGAGGAACACCGGCGTTAGTCGCAACAGGATCGGATGAGCAGCCTTCGACGACGACCCGGAAAGACCGTTCACTCAGAAAGTCCTTTACCCGGTTAATCAGACTAGGGGATAAGCCGTACGCTGTGAAGCTTACCCAAAAGGCTAGTGTGCCAAACTATGTCAAAGGCCTTCGAGAGATCAAGGAAAACAGCTAGTGCTTCCCCACTGTTCTCGCGTGCCTAGCCCTATACTGACCGATTTCGGCGAAACCCGTATTGGCGGTCACTAAGGAGGTTATGCTGTTCTAGGTATGGCATTAAGCGGGCGTTCAATATACGCTCCATAATCTTGCAGAGAATGGAGGTAATTGAGATTGGCAGGGTCGGCACAGCTTCCTTTTTATACAAAGATACCGATTCAAAAATAAACATAAATCAAAATATTTATCTTTGTACTGACTAACTTAGGTACCATAAAAAATACAGCAATTGTTAATAGAATATTTTACTACCACTATTTGTGTGTATTTTATTTTATTCTGACTTAAGAGATTAAGACTTAATTGATGGTTCCCATACCTAGCCTACATGTTTACAAACTAATGTTATTAGTTCGCCCAGATATTGATGGGTAAGAGAAAAACAAGTATTTTCTGTAAATGATTTTAAATAAAAAAAAATGGATTTAACTCATGTTCTTTTCATTAATTTACGCATTCTTAACAAATAGCAAACAGTACAAACCATATTTTCATAGCTGTACATAATAGAACATGTCAAGTTTCACTGTTTGTCTCGCTCACACAGCTTAGAATTCGTCCAAACAAGGCAAGTAGGTAGTAAAGTAAAATTTTCAAGGGCAGCAGATGTACTTTTACCTAATAAAGACATGCAATGTTAAAAAAAACTATCTGTCATTAATTTTATAATGAAATGCCTACTTTTACACATTAACGGCTATAGCTCAGTAAGTAATGATATTAAGTACATAGTATGCTAATGTTTTAGAATCCTCATGATGCAGGCAAACTTTTTAAATGGTTGGCCACACAGATCTCATGTCTTTTTTTCACCACAGGTGCTCAAACTTAGCAGATAAATAAAATAAAAAATTTAAACTTATGTTTAGTGCTGTCTTGTAAAATACTACCCATAGTAGTTGAAAACTTATAAAGGTAATTTAGGAACATCATTATTAGGGAACACATTAAAAGAAAAAATTCCGATCTAGGCATTAAACTGTGGACGTGATGATCACAAATGTGAGCAGAAGTACGAATTATCGGAATTTTATAAAACATGGTGTAGAGCGCGAACCGTTCGGGGTAGAATTTTGCAGCATGTGCTACACAGCACGTGCTGAGTAGATTGTCGAACAAACACGAATTATCCAATGAGTCACATGCTATGCGAATATAGACCTTAACGTTTTAAATACACATGTGATGCAATGTATGCGTAATGTATGTAATAACACGGTATGTGGTATGGTGGTAAGACGGGGGAGTGGCGGCGTCGGCTGCGGCGGTTCTTGTGGTGGGCGGGGCGCGCGCGGCGGCTGGCACGGAGGCTGGGCGGCGCCGCCAACCGCGAGCTGCACGCGGAGCTGCAGCCCTACGTGTGGGAGCTGTGCGCCGTGCTGGCGCTGCTCACCGCCTTCCTGCGCTGGCTCGGTGAGTCCCGCGCCATCTGTACTGTACTGTACTGTACTGTATGTACAACCGCGAGCTGCACGCGGAGCTGCAGCCCTACGTGTGGGAGCTGTGCGCCGTGCTGGCGCTGCTCACCGCCTTCCTGCGCTGGCTCGGTGAGTCCCGCGCCATCTGTACTGTACTGTACTGTACTGTATGTACAACCGCGAGCTGCACGCGGAGCTGCAGCCCTACGTGTGGGAGCTGTGCGCCGTGCTGGCGCTGCTCACCGCCTTCCTGCGCTGGCTCGGTGAGTCCCGCGCCATCTGTACTGTACTGTACTGTACTGTATGTACAACCGCGAGCTGCACGCGGAGCTGCAGCCCTACGTGTGGGAGCTGTGCGCCGTGCTGGCGCTGCTCACCGCCTTCCTGCGCTGGCTCGGTGAGTCCCGCGCCATCTGTACTGTACTGTACTGTACTGTATGTACAACCGCGAGCTGCACGCGGAGCTGCAGCCCTACGTGTGGGAGCTGTGCGCCGTGCTGGCGCTGCTCACCGCCTTCCTGCGCTGGCTCGGTGAGTCCCGCGCCATCTGTACTGTACTGTACTGTACTGTATGTACAACCGCGAGCTGCACGCGGAGCTGCAGCCCTACGTGTGGGAGCTGTGCGCCGTGCTGGCGCTGCTCACCGCCTTCCTGCGCTGGCTCGGTGAGTCCCGCGCCATCTGTACTGTACTGTACTGTACTGTATGTACAACCGCGAGCTGCACGCGGAGCTGCAGCCCTACGTGTGGGAGCTGTGCGCCGTGCTGGCGCTGCTCACCGCCTTCCTGCGCTGGCTCGGTGAGTCCCGCGCCATCTGTACTGTACTGTACTGTACTGTATGTACAACCGCGAGCTGCACGCGGAGCTGCAGCCCTACGTGTGGGAGCTGTGCGCCGTGCTGGCGCTGCTCACCGCCTTCCTGCGCTGGCTCGGTGAGTCCCGCGCCATCTGTACTGTACTGTACTGTACTGTATGTACAACCGCGAGCTGCACGCGGAGCTGCAGCCCTACGTGTGGGAGCTGTGCGCCGTGCTGGCGCTGCTCACCGCCTTCCTGCGCTGGCTCGGTGAGTCCCGCGCCATCTGTACTGTACTGTACTGTACTGTATGTACAACCGCGAGCTGCACGCGGAGCTGCAGCCCTACGTGTGGGAGCTGTGCGCCGTGCTGGCGCTGCTCACCGCCTTCCTGCGCTGGCTCGGTGAGTCCCGCGCCATCTGTACTGTACTGTACTGTACTGTATGTACAACCGCGAGCTGCACGCGGAGCTGCAGCCCTACGTGTGGGAGCTGTGCGCCGTGCTGGCGCTGCTCACCGCCTTCCTGCGCTGGCTCGGTGAGTCCCGCGCCATCTGTACTGTACTGTACTGTACTGTATGTACAACCGCGAGCTGCACGCGGAGCTCTGCAGCCCTACGTGTGGGAGCTGTGCGCCGTGCTGGCGCTGCTCACCGCCTTCCTGCGCTGGCTCGGTGAGTCCCGCGCCATCTGTACTGTACTGTACTGTACTGTATGTACAACCGCGAGCTGCACGCGGAGCTGCAGCCCTACGTGTGGGAGCTGTGCGCCGTGCTGGCGCTGCTCACCGCCTTCCTGCGCTGGCTCGGTGAGTCCCGCGCCATCTGTACTGTACTGTACTGTACTGTATGTACAACCGCGAGCTGCACGCGGAGCTGCAGCCCTACGTGTGGGAGCTGTGCGCCGTGCTGGCGCTGCTCACCGCCTTCCTGCGCTGGCTCGGTGAGTCCCGCGCCATCTGTACTGTACTGTACTGTACTGTATGTACAACCGCGAGCTGCACGCGGAGCTGCAGCCCTACGTGTGGGAGCTGTGCGCCGTGCTGGCGCTGCTCACCGCCTTCCTGCGCTGGCTCGGTGAGTCCCGCGCCATCTGTACTGTACTGTACTGTACTGTATGTACAACCGCGAGCTGCACGCGGAGCTCTGCAGCCCTACGTGTGGGAGCTGTGCGCCGTGCTGGCGCTGCTCACCGCCTTCCTGCGCTGGCTCGGTGAGTCCCGCGCCATCTGTACTGTACTGTACTGTACTGTATGTACAACCGCGAGCTGCACGCGGAGCTGCAGCCCTACGTGTGGGAGCTGTGCGCCGTGCTGGCGCTGCTCACCGCCTTCCTGCGCTGGCTCGGTGAGTCCCGCGCCATCTGTACTGTACTGTACTGTACTGTATGTACAACCGCGAGCTGCACGCGGAGCTGCAGCCCTACGTGTGGGAGCTGTGCGCCGTGCTGGCGCTGCTCACCGCCTTCCTGCGCTGGCTCGGTGAGTCCCGCGCCATCTGTACTGTACTGTACTGTACTGTATGTACAACCGCGAGCTGCACGCGGAGCTGCAGCCCTACGTGTGGGAGCTGTGCGCCGTGCTGGCGCTGCTCACCGCCTTCCTGCGCTGGCTCGGTGAGTCCCGCGCCATCTGTACTGTACTGTACTGTACTGTATGTACAACCGCGAGCTGCACGCGGAGCTGCAGCCCTACGTGTGGGAGCTGTGCGCCGTGCTGGCGCTGCTCACCGCCTTCCTGCGCTGGCTCGGTGAGTCCCGCGCCATCTGTACTGTACTGTACTGTACTGTATGTACAACCGCGAGCTGCACGCGGAGCTGCAGCCCTACGTGTGGGAGCTGTGCGCCGTGCTGGCGCTGCTCACCGCCTTCCTGCGCTGGCTCGGTGAGTCCCGCGCCATCTGTACTGTACTGTACTGTACTGTATGTACAACCGCGAGCTGCACGCGGAGCTGCAGCCCTACGTGTGGGAGCTGTGCGCCGTGCTGGCGCTGCTCACCGCCTTCCTGCGCTGGCTCGGTGAGTCCCGCGCCATCTGTACTGTACTGTACTGTACTGTATGTACAACCGCGAGCTGCACGCGGAGCTGCAGCCCTACGTGTGGGAGCTGTGCGCCGTGCTGGCGCTGCTCACCGCCTTCCTGCGCTGGCTCGGTGAGTCCCGCGCCATCTGTACTGTACTGTACTGTACTGTATGTACAACCGCGAGCTGCACGCGGAGCTGCAGCCCTACGTGTGGGAGCTGTGCGCCGTGCTGGCGCTGCTCACCGCCTTCCTGCGCTGGCTCGGTGAGTCCCGCGCCATCTGTACTGTACTGTACTGTACTGTATGTACAACCGCGAGCTGCACGCGGAGCTGCAGCCCTACGTGTGGGAGCTGTGCGCCGTGCTGGCGCTGCTCACCGCCTTCCTGCGCTGGCTCGGTGAGTCCCGCGCCATCTGTACTGTACTGTACTGTACTGTATGTACAACCGCGAGCTGCACGCGGAGCTGCAGCCCTACGTGTGGGAGCTGTGCGCCGTGCTGGCGCTGCTCACCGCCTTCCTGCGCTGGCTCGGTGAGTCCCGCGCCATCTGTACTGTACTGTACTGTACTGTATGTACAACCGCGAGCTGCACGCGGAGCTGCAGCCCTACGTGTGGGAGCTGTGCGCCGTGCTGGCGCTGCTCACCGCCTTCCTGCGCTGGCTCGGTGAGTCCCGCGCCATCTGTACTGTACTGTACTGTACTGTATGTACAACCGCGAGCTGCACGCGGAGCTGCAGCCCTACGTGTGGGAGCTGTGCGCCGTGCTGGCGCTGCTCACCGCCTTCCTGCGCTGGCTCGGTGAGTCCCGCGCCATCTGTACTGTACTGTACTGTACTGTATGTACAACCGCGAGCTGCACGCGGAGCTGCAGCCCTACGTGTGGGAGCTGTGCGCCGTGCTGGCGCTGCTCACCGCCTTCCTGCGCTGGCTCGGTGAGTCCCGCGCCATCTGTACTGTACTGTACTGTACTGTATGTACAACCGCGAGCTGCACGCGGAGCTGCAGCCCTACGTGTGGGAGCTGTGCGCCGTGCTGGCGCTGCTCACCGCCTTCCTGCGCTGGCTCGGTGAGTCCCGCGCCATCTGTACTGTACTGTACTGTACTGTATGTACAACCGCGAGCTGCACGCGGAGCTGCAGCCCTACGTGTGGGAGCTGTGCGCCGTGCTGGCGCTGCTCACCGCCTTCCTGCGCTGGCTCGGTGAGTCCCGCGCCATCTGTACTGTACTGTACTGTACTGTATGTACAACCGCGAGCTGCACGCGGAGCTGCAGCCCTACGTGTGGGAGCTGTGCGCCGTGCTGGCGCTGCTCACCGCCTTCCTGCGCTGGCTCGGTGAGTCCCGCGCCATCTGTACTGTACTGTACTGTACTGTATGTACAACCGCGAGCTGCACGCGGAGCTGCAGCCCTACGTGTGGGAGCTGTGCGCCGTGCTGGCGCTGCTCACCGCCTTCCTGCGCTGGCTCGGTGAGTCCCGCGCCATCTGTACTGTACTGTACTGTACTGTATGTACAACCGCGAGCTGCACGCGGAGCTGCAGCCCTACGTGTGGGAGCTGTGCGCCGTGCTGGCGCTGCTCACCGCCTTCCTGCGCTGGCTCGGTGAGTCCCGCGCCATCTGTACTGTACTGTACTGTATGTACAACCGCGAGCTGCACGCGGAGCTGCAGCCCTACGTGTGGGAGCTGTGCGCCGTGCTGGCGCTGCTCACCGCCTTCCTGCGCTGGCTCGGTGAGTCCCGCGCCATCTGTACTGTACTGTACTGTACTGTATGTACAACCGCGAGCTGCACGCGGAGCTGCAGCCCTACGTGTGGGAGCTGTGCGCCGTGCTGGCGCTGCTCACCGCCTTCCTGCGCTGGCTCGGTGAGTCCCGCGCCATCTGTACTGTACTGTACTGTACTGTATGTACAACCGCGAGCTGCACGCGGAGCTGCAGCCCTACGTGTGGGAGCTGTGCGCCGTGCTGGCGCTGCTCACCGCCTTCCTGCGCTGGCTCGGTGAGTCCCGCGCCATCTGTACTGTACTGTACTGTACTGTATGTACAACCGCGAGCTGCACGCGGAGCTGCAGCCCTACGTGTGGGAGCTGTGCGCCGTGCTGGCGCTGCTCACCGCCTTCCTGCGCTGGCTCGGTGAGTCCCGCGCCATCTGTACTGTACTGTACTGTACTGTATGTACAACCGCGAGCTGCACGCGGAGCTGCAGCCCTACGTGTGGGAGCTGTGCGCCGTGCTGGCGCTGCTCACCGCCTTCCTGCGCTGGCTCGGTGAGTCCCGCGCCATCTGTACTGTACTGTACTGTACTGTATGTACAACCGCGAGCTGCACGCGGAGCTGCAGCCCTACGTGTGGGAGCTGTGCGCCGTGCTGGCGCTGCTCACCGCCTTCCTGCGCTGGCTCGGTGAGTCCCGCGCCATCTGTACTGTACTGTACTGTACTGTATGTACAACCGCGAGCTGCACGCGGAGCTGCAGCCCTACGTGTGGGAGCTGTGCGCCGTGCTGGCGCTGCTCACCGCCTTCCTGCGCTGGCTCGGTGAGTCCCGCGCCATCTGTACTGTACTGTACTGTACTGTATGTACAACCGCGAGCTGCACGCGGAGCTGCAGCCCTACGTGTGGGAGCTGTGCGCCGTGCTGGCGCTGCTCACCGCCTTCCTGCGCTGGCTCGGTGAGTCCCGCGCCATCTGTACTGTACTGTACTGTACTGTATGTACAACCGCGAGCTGCACGCGGAGCTGCAGCCCTACGTGTGGGAGCTGTGCGCCGTGCTGGCGCTGCTCACCGCCTTCCTGCGCTGGCTCGGTGAGTCCCGCGCCATCTGTACTGTACTGTACTGTACTGTATGTACAACCGCGAGCTGCACGCGGAGCTGCAGCCCTACGTGTGGGAGCTGTGCGCCGTGCTGGCGCTGCTCACCGCCTTCCTGCGCTGGCTCGGTGAGTCCCGCGCCATCTGTACTGTACTGTACTGTACTGTATGTACAACCGCGAGCTGCACGCGGAGCTGCAGCCCTACGTGTGGGAGCTGTGCGCCGTGCTGGCGCTGCTCACCGCCTTCCTGCGCTGGCTCGGTGAGTCCCGCGCCATCTGTACTGTACTGTACTGTACTGTATGTACAACCGCGAGCTGCACGCGGAGCTCTGCAGCCCTACGTGTGGGAGCTGTGCGCCGTGCTGGCGCTGCTCACCGCCTTCCTGCGCTGGCTCGGTGAGTCCCGCGCCATCTGTACTGTACTGTACTGTACTGTATGTACAACCGCGAGCTGCACGCGGAGCTGCAGCCCTACGTGTGGGAGCTGTGCGCCGTGCTGGCGCTGCTCACCGCCTTCCTGCGCTGGCTCGGTGAGTCCCGCGCCATCTGTACTGTACTGTACTGTACTGTATGTACAACCGCGAGCTGCACGCGGAGCTGCAGCCCTACGTGTGGGAGCTGTGCGCCGTGCTGGCGCTGCTCACCGCCTTCCTGCGCTGGCTCGGTGAGTCCCGCGCCATCTGTACTGTACTGTACTGTACTGTATGTACAACCGCGAGCTGCACGCGGAGCTGCAGCCCTACGTGTGGGAGCTGTGCGCCGTGCTGGCGCTGCTCACCGCCTTCCTGCGCTGGCTCGGTGAGTCCCGCGCCATCTGTACTGTACTGTACTGTACTGTATGTACAACCGCGAGCTGCACGCGGAGCTCTGCAGCCCTACGTGTGGGAGCTGTGCGCCGTGCTGGCGCTGCTCACCGCCTTCCTGCGCTGGCTCGGTGAGTCCCGCGCCATCTGTACTGTACTGTACTGTACTGTATGTACAACCGCGAGCTGCACGCGGAGCTGCAGCCCTACGTGTGGGAGCTGTGCGCCGTGCTGGCGCTGCTCACCGCCTTCCTGCGCTGGCTCGGTGAGTCCCGCGCCATCTGTACTGTACTGTACTGTACTGTATGTACAACCGCGAGCTGCACGCGGAGCTGCAGCCCTACGTGTGGGAGCTGTGCGCCGTGCTGGCGCTGCTCACCGCCTTCCTGCGCTGGCTCGGTGAGTCCCGCGCCATCTGTACTGTACTGTACTGTACTGTATGTACAACCGCGAGCTGCACGCGGAGCTGCAGCCCTACGTGTGGGAGCTGTGCGCCGTGCTGGCGCTGCTCACCGCCTTCCTGCGCTGGCTCGGTGAGTCCCGCGCCATCTGTACTGTACTGTACTGTACTGTATGTACAACCGCGAGCTGCACGCAGAGCTGCAGCCCTACGTGTGGGAGCTGTGCGCCGTGCTGGCGCTGCTCACATAGGCCAGCGGCAATCACTATAAAACTTCAAGTAAGTTTTAATAATTTTGACATACCTCTTTTTAAATTCAAAGTATTAGTCGGATTTAATACGTAAAGTCAGTTAAAATAAAGTAATAGTATTATTTTTTACATTAATTCTGATAGATTAATTAACTGGCGATCATAATTTCAATAGATTTTAACTATTAAATTATTTAGTACCATTTCATTTCTTCATTCATTTATAATTGTGTGAGTACTGAGTAACTTATTTAGGTACGTTTATTAATTTCAATATATTTTTTGTAGTAAAGAACTGTTTGTTGTGTCAGGGTACAATTGATTGTGTAATTGTATTAAAAATGACAACCATAATTTCTAAATTCCATATGAAGACTAGTCTTGACTAAACTTATGAATAAAATAAACGTTGGCAATGTCGTATAGGTTTTACAGTCTGTGGATGTGCTCAGTGCTTCAAGGACGAGTGCCTCGTGCGCATTTGTTTTGGCGGGATTGATTAATAATTTTAGTTTTTGAGACAGTTCCGTGTTGACTATCATGTGCGCCTGAGTGACAGTTCAATCGTTTTGTTTATTACATTCTTTTTGTTACGTTTTGTTTTTCTAGTTTTGTTTTAATAATGCCTAACGCGTAGGTACGTTTATAGTGGTCGTGAATACGGCAACATGTTAATGTGCCTTGGAGAATCTCATAAGATTTAGATCGGTAAGCTTTTTCATACCCAATTTTTTAAATAACTTAGAACTCTTCTTAATAGGTACATAACTGAATACATCATAATAATCAACACATGACTCTAATTTTCTTAACATTTCATTTAAGTAAGTTTTTTATTAGTGGGCAATCGAACCAGGTATTTGGTTTATTTAACCTGTGAATAAAGTGGCTAGGTGGAGACTATCACAGTGGCAAAATAGTAGGTTAAGTAGATAAGTTAGGTATTTATACAAGTGTTGTAAATTATTAGATATTGTGGTACCATCGCTAGCTGCTGGCCTCGCGAATTCAGGGTCCAGGCGTACATTGACCCCTAGTCAGCTGATTGTAATTCAGTAATTCCACTGCTAGATTTCTGTTTAAGTATTTTTATCGAATTTATTTGTGACCCATGATCAAAGGTATCCTTAGTACTATCATCTGTCTTCATGTTCGGGGGCGTTTCACAAACACCCGGTATACACTAGTAGCCTGGACTGGAACTAAATTTGACATAATTTGCAAATGGCCGTTGTTTTGCTCAAAACGTCTAAGAGTATTGTGTAGTTTTAAATGAGTAAAACAGTGTGTACTGTGTATTTCGGTTAAGTTTCACGTTAATAATACTGTACTTATTTTTAAATTTCCCGAATCTATTGTAATTGTACCACTAAAAGGGGAAGACACTGGTTTCTAAGATACAGTACAGTTTAGAAGCAAAGGTTCCATTTATTGTTAAAACATTTGTGGCTAGTAAAGAATTTATTTATTCATTTATTTAAATAGGTTTACTTTTCCATTCGTTAAAAATTCTGCAAATTGAACCTATTAAATAGGCTCAATTTTGTTTTGTTAAATTTTATCAAGAACAAAATAAGAAGGACTGTGGCTGAGTCTGTATGTTTTTCTTTAGTTTTTTATGTTCGGAAAATTTGATGGATATCTGATAGCGACGATATGATCAATTTGAGTAATTTTTGAAAGTTACTCTATTTAATAATATTGAATTTATATATGAAAAACATAACATGGCCGTAGTAGATATAGATTGTATCGTAATAAATATGTAATTGTTCTAGAGTCATTATCCAAGGAGGAAACATCAATACGTTTCTATGGACTAAACGCCGCCCTGTAGTTTAATCTTTAAATATTTGTTTATTAATGTATGTTTTAATTTTTTTTCAGAACTTGGCAAATTCCCTCCAAATATAACAGCCAACACACAAGGAAGTTACACATGTACGTATTTTATTATTTTAAACAATTATAATTTAATTATGGTTAATAATATTAATATGGTGTACAGAGGTACATTAACTATCAAAAATAATAACATACAGGCATTAAACAATTCATCTTCATCCCTAGGAGAGACAAACTAACACTGCTGTCAATAGTATAGTCATGGCAACAATTTATGTTTGTGGGAATATAGAATAAACAAGAATTCTTCAACGACAAATTATTTTATTAAACTAATATAATACAACAATAAGTACAACATAAAACACCAAAGTATAGCAAGGAAGGCAATAAGTAGTGCCACCGAATCAGGTGGACTATTTTTTACAGTAAAAAGTAAAAGGCAAAGGTTACAAGCATGAAGCCTTATTATACGATATTCATAATAAATGTATTATATATTTTCTTTATTAATAATGGTTATATGACTGATATTTATTGCCATATAAAATATTAAAATAAACGCACCAATGTTAGGGTTTTATTAATCTGGCAAGACTCAAAGACACGGGAACAAACAAAATTCAACCAAAATCGAAGTGAACACTATTTACGCACAAATAACTTCGGTTGAAATTCTGCTATCGGCAGCGTAGTCACCTGGCAACTAGCTAGCTCTCTAGGTCGTGCTGTCTTTAATATTTGAAAATTTGACAGAACTATCTCATTCTTTCTTTAGGGTTCTCGAAGGGTTGGCGCGAAGCATTCGAGAGTGGTGCTCAAGAGCCCTGGGTGTTTCGGGGCGGGTTGACAGCAGACTTGCGGAGGCTTCTGCCAATCGAGTGCACCGGAGACGTTCTAAGACCACAGACCGTACCAAATGGTTTACCACTCACTATCCGACCGTACACGCCCGCCGATGAAGAAGCGGTGAGTAACACATACCGGAGACGTTTAAGTACTATTTGCACGGAATAAACTTAAGTTTATAGAACGTGCATCTGCTGTTTTGTACCGGTTTAAAGGTTTAAAGGGTATAGGCATTGAGTTATATGTACTACGTACTAGAGAAGCCATTTCAAACTAAAATTGTGTCCTACTCTATGTTTTCGCGCATACGCGGGAGTAGTAGTCGCGCATGCGCGATGACTTTAATTTGATATATGTGGTTTCTTATTGCATCTGCATCAAAAACATCAACACCTGTCACGGGCTTTTGTCTTCGTTTTTTCTTAGGAGTGCGTAAAACATTATCTTCACTTCCAGAAGCACCAAATTTTTCTTTATTTATATTATATAGTGTTTTTGCACCAATTCCAAGAGCTTGTGAAACCCGATCTTTCACTTGAGTGACAGGAATCAAAGGGCCGCCATTTTGTGACTCACGCTCAAACTAATCCTGTAGCTTTAGTACAAGCTCACGACATTGACTATTCAATGTTTTTCCTCGTTTCGGCATTTTCAACAAAATTACCAAACACAAACAAAATTAGTCCAATAAAGCGCAACGATAAGCAGGAGAAAGCCGAGTCAAAAAACAATGGTTACACAAGAGAACGTAGTCTGTGCGCACGAGAGTACGGAAGACGACTAAACAGATTAAAATAGCGGTGGTAAGGGTGTTGCCAGAATAGTATCGCTAATTACTTAAAAAAATACACCTATAACATTGCTTAATTGAGGGAGAAAATTATATTTATTAAATGTTGTTTTATATATTATGAATGTTAAAAATTATACATAATCATTTTAATTGTATTTATTTTTAAATCATAGAAAACAGTATTTCTGTCTTTGGATCACACATAAATCTTAAAAATCATAGAGATACTGGCAACACAGTGCAATTAGGAGACGCAAAAAAATGGTAGCATTATAGTCTAGTTGCTCGAAGGAATAAGTAAAATAAAAATATCCAAATAAAATAAATATCATATCTATTCCAATGAATTCGGACCGAATACTATCAAGCACATCACTATGAAAACTAGACGCACGATGTAACTTTGTACAAGCGCGCCAAAGAACAAAAAATAAATGTTTTCATATTATTTACAAACTATTTTAAGTTTTGAAACAGAGTTTTTTTGGAAAATTACTTGATTCTGACATTTTGACATAAAGTTTTATATTAAAGAGGTATTCTAAATCATTCGGCAAATGTGTCGCTCGTGCAAGCTTATATCGATTAATTTAAGAATAATCTGTCAAATCGGTAATAACTCAACGGCCGTACTATAGTACATATAACTCAATGGGTATGGGAATTCAGTATCTATTACAGGCTGTGACGCATTCTATTTTTAATCCCCGGCGAAAACAGAGGGCTGTTATGTGTTTGTAGTGTGTATCTGTGTGTCTGTCTGTAGTAACATAGCTCCTGAATGGATAAACAGACTTTGATTAACTTTTTTTTGTTTGAAAGGGGTATTAATCGAGAGTGTTCATAACTATATTTTAATAAAATCTGTTCAGCCGTTTAAAGATCACCAGCTCTTTTTGTTTCCGAGTTTTGGAACGAAGTTCCTTATCGGACGGTACGGGTTTGGCGGATGGGAGCTAGGCGACAAAAAGTGTAAGATTTTTTTGTCACTACCCCTTGTGCCATAGTATTTTTTTTATAGGATAGGGTGACAAACGAGCACACAGTCCACCTGATGGTAAGTGGTTACTGTGACCCATAGACATCTACATTTATCCTCAATAAAGACTCAAGATGCAGATGCGTTGTCACCCGTGAGGACTAAGATAGAATGCCTCTTTTCCAGTAAAAAGGGTCTCCGGTTCTCTACACTCACCATACGAAACACAGCAGCGTTAAGCTGCTATTTTACGCTGGTTTTCTGTGAGAGCGTGGTCCTTCCCCGGTCGAGCCGACCCATGAGTGCTACAACTATACTACTAATATAGCTGCAGCATGGCTCTACCACGTAAAAAAATGACGCTTCATTTTAATAGACGCTAGTAATACATTTATTTGTATTTGTTGATCAATAATAAGGAACTTTGTTCCTACCGAGTGTTCCACGACACTCACGTATGTTTTATTTTTTATTTTTGTATAAGTTCTAGTACTCAAAGTTGACAATACATCGGTGGCTTTTTAGATTGAAGTTGGCTGCTGGTTGTCCTTACAATCAACTGGATTGTGAGTTTGTTTATCGTTTTAATACATTCGTGATCATTATAATATAGCCTATCACAAGTCCACTTCTGAATATAGGATATTCAAAAGGAGTGCCACTAAACACGGTCCTGACCTACCTTCATGTATAGACTTGTGTCACCAGGCCGTCACCCCGTGTAGTGGGGGTCGCCCTCATTCGGTGTTATCGATTTCATTACGTACGATCTATATGACCAGTCAACTATAACGGTAATTACGAAAAATTACTAAAAGTAATTCTCTACTTTGTATTGAGGACCATTAATGAATTTGATTCCCGCGCTTGCGGCATTTAATTGTACTCTCCATTTAAATAATTTTGATTGAATGAAAAAATGGTTTGTCATCTAATTATCGTTTTCAATAATAATTAGAACTATTTTGTCTTGCAGGTATCGACGATTTGTCACAAAACATGTCGCGACGGCTCCGACTGTTCTGACCTCTTCCCTAGCGATCTGCAAACGCTCCCGGCGGACAGGTAAATATATAGCGAATCTAGTAGTTTTTTTTTTAAATATTTACTGTTTTGTAATGTATAGGCTTTTCATCAAGAACCGGAAGATGACAAAGTTATTACTTAATCATTAACCTGAACAAATCCTGTTGTTTCATCAAAAGCCTGAACTTGTTAAGGTTTATGATAAAATTTAAGGTTAGGTGAGGTTAGATTGGTTTTATCATAAAACTAAATCAGTCTAGGTTTTTGATCAAACTGGATTTTCTCAATTTTATCTATACAAATAAATAAAATTAAAGTGTTCTGTTTGTAATGTCAAAATTACAGCTTTTTACTAAATGCATATGAAAATAAATACGGTACTTATAACTAAAATACATTTTTTTTAATTTTTTTTTGTCTGTCTGTCTGTTTGTTCCGGCTAATCTCCGAAACAGCTGAACGGATTTTGAGTGGACTTTCACAAGCGGATAGCTGATGTCATAAGGAGTAACTTAGGCTACTTTTATTTTAGAAAAAGAATCAGGGTTCCGCGCAAAAAAATAAAAACCCTAACACGCGAGCGTAGTCGCTGGGAACAGCTAATAATAACATAAAGTAGTAACTTTGTCTTCTTCCGGGTAAACTCTTTCATTTCAAATTACTATGATATTTTGAAAATTTTACTAATTCGGTCATAGAAAAATATAAATATTTGTATTTTAGCTAAAAAATTGACAAAATTAATGGAGTGGATTATAAGCTCTTTTTATAGAGCATATTCTATTCTTTACTTTAGTCATACATATCTTGGCAGTAAAGTCGAAAAATTTTTATTTGAACTTTGAGCAAAAAATCGATAAATGATAAAAAAAAATCATATTTCGTAGCAGATTGCGCAGAAACTATAAGTGATATCGCTTTTGTATGTATAAGAGGTTGATAGCAAATTTATCAAGGATTATTTCATTCGTTTCCTTTAAAACTGGAAAAACCGCGGTTAGAGACATTTTCTGGGGCGCAGGGAGGTGACGCTCACTCGGGTGGGGGAGAGAAAGCGAATAAAATTTAACACACATGTCAATAGATAAAAGTACTCCATTAATATAGCCAGTGTTTTAGCTAAAATAAACTAATAGTTGCCGGCACTACATATACCAGTGGCGGTCAATGTATTCTCGGTATGGGGGTATGTTAGAAAAAAGATAAAATTATGAAATACTTTTTATTTTTCAAGTTTAGTAGTCTCCATTACATCGATACATTTACTTATTCGTAAAAAAAGCTTTTTTTTATAGGACAAGGGTGACAAACGAGCACACAGTCCACCTGATGGTAAGTGGTTGCTGCGGCCCATAGACATCTACATATATCCTCGTTTGCGAATCAAAATGCAGATGCGTTGTCACCCGTGAGGACTAAGATGGAATGCCTCATTTCCAGTAAAAAGGGCCTCCGGCCACCTGCACTCACCAAACGAAACGCAGAGGTAAACCTCTACTTCACGCTGGTATTCTGTGAGGTCGTGGTACCACCCCGGTTCGAGCCGGCCCATCCGTGCGACAGCAAAAGCTGCCGTGTGGCTCTACCACTGTACATATTTTTACCCTTATTTATTCCCTTAAAAAAATATTTTTTAAAAATTTACATGAAGTCGGTTGTACAAAATTTTTAATTTTAAATTATTGTGTATTCGATCAATAGTATTCCTTTGGAATCCCAAAACACTGAGGCCATGATTTTACCGGCCAATGGAGTTACTTTGATCTTCTGGAGGGGAGGGGGACGGTCTTATCCCTTTTTTATGCCATTGCTAGACTCTTGTTTACTTTCAGGGTCATAGTGATGAACCCACGTTTCATCTCCTGTAACTATCACCATATATATAATATATATATATATATATATATATATATATATTATCACGGCCACCATTTCTTCATGGATGTTTTTTGAGGAATTTAATCACCGCACTGTGTTCGATTTTTTTCAACATTGTCGATTCAGTCATCCCCGTCGTCTATGACTGAAGGTTACATAAGTAGTAATGAAGTTATCAAGACGAAATTCATGTTTATATCCTCGTGTATCGTTAGCTAATTATTTTTTTAATTATCAACATTATTAGCAAATTACCCTAATACCGAGAATACACTGAACAGCCCTCGTAATTATTAGTATATTGGTCAAAAAATTGAATTGTGCAAATTTGCGCTATTAATTGGACTACGTCCAATTACTAAGTAACAATTCTTTTCTGTCTAGGAGGTTTGTCTGAGTTGGTACAACCCCCATACTATTTCTGCCCCCTCTCCTATAAAAAAAAAAGTATTGACACGATTCTTTTTAAATTGAGTACAAAAGTGAAAATGGCCGATTTGGCACGACATTTCAAAATTAGGCTAATTTGTAATCGAAATTATTGTGATTAAACAAAATATCTTGATATTTTTATGTATGTTTTAATTTAACCACATTTGCTATTACATGTCCACATGCGCTGATATAAGTAACAGTTTATTGTAAGTGAGCATAGATTACTTACAATGCAGACCGGAGGACAGATAGTCCAACATAACACAAACAAACCACAAACCAAACAGTGCTACCAACTATACACTTTAAATGTAATTATATTGCCATTTTACAACAGAAATTATTATTTTCAGGCTAGTAGCGCCATTTTTAACCCTAGCGCCAGAGCTATGCATGGTCATAGAAGACGACGAGGGCTGCCTGCCACAAGACACAGATGGCGCTGAAGTCGACGCTGATTACACGGAGGACAAGTCCGACCCTGTACTGGACACAAAGATTAATGGTGAATTGTCACTTAAGCTTATAAATACATCTTTTTGTTTCCTTGAAAGTGTTCAGACAATGTTTTTTGTTTACTTTATAGGTGTCAAGCCAGAAATAGTTGGATACGCATGCGCAGCTCTTAACGCGAAAGAGTTCTACAAGAAACAAGAGATCGCTTGGATTCCGGAGATGTGTAAAAAGTATCCCGAGGAGCTAACCGAGAGAGAAGATCTCAGTCCGGCAGCTAAGGTGAGTTTGAGTGGTGTAGAGATAACATTTTGTGATGAGATCATATGATCATACAACGCTACTTTTATTTTGGATAGCGTAGTATCCATGGACGTTTCAGTGGATAACAGAATAGAGAAAGAGTGTAAGATCGTCTAATTTCCAATTTTAAGACAATTAATTGCGAAAGAAGCATTGCAAAAATACAGTGTCTAGAGCCGGTTCCACTTACAGTTCGTAATAGTTTACTACTGGGCGTGGCTCTCTCTTAGTCCTCCAACCCTCTAAATATTTTATTCCGTAGATATATACAGTTTCTTCACTACGTTTCCGACGCATTCTGAAGGTTTGACTTACCCTACAGAAAGGCCTGTGGCCAGTTGTGGTCCCTAATCATTTGATGACGGTTAAAACTAGCTTCTGAAGGTGTTAACAATTAATTTGATAAAATAAAATATACGAATGGCTGACAAGGTCAGTTAACCGCAGAGTCTACTTCCCCTGAGGATGCTTCGTGTAGAGGCGAAACACGTGTCGTATTATCGACGGTGATGTGTCTTTCTTAGTGTAGTGGTGTTGGGAGTAGTGGTGCTGGGATTAGTTTTAGTGGGAACGGAGAGGTGCTCTTTAAACTAGGTAAGACACATCATTTTATTTTATTTGCGGATATTATGGAATTTTAACACCTTTAATATTATTGATTAAAAAGAAACGCCTGATTCTGTTAATTATCTAGCTTATGAATCGTTTATTAGAGATACTAAGAGAACTAAGACGAAATGCCTTGTATCCGGTCTTCGGTTCTCTACACTCGCCATACGAAAAGCAGCAGCATCAGGCTGCCATGTACGCTGCCAATGCGTGCGTGCGTGCGTATCATTTTACTTCCTCCGTCCACCTAGTTCATTCATCATTACAGCCTTTCATAATTCCACTGCTGAACATAGGCCTCCCCCAAGGAATGCCACAAAGCACGGTCCTGAGCCACCTGCATCCATCGACTTCCTGCATGTCTTGCCAGGTCGTCACTCCATCTCGTGGGGGGTCGCCCTACACTTCGCCTACCAGTACGAGGCTGCCACTCAAGAACCTTTCTTCCTCATCGGTTGTCGGTTCTTCGAGCTATATGGCCGGCCCACTGCCACTTCAGCTTACTAATCTGTTAGGCTATGTCGGTCACTCTGGTTCTACTGCGGATATCCTCATTTCTAAGTTTATCACGCAGAGAAACTCCGAGCATAGCCCTCTCCATAACTCGCTGAGCGACCTTGATCTTCCTCATACGGCCAGCAGTGGCCGCTGAGGCACGCGTACTGGCAACACGCACTGGTTGTATAATTTCGTTTTAAGGTTTTGAGGAATGTCTGACGAGAAGATGTGTCGTAGTTTCCCGAACGCTGCCCATCCGTTTTGAATCCGTCGATTGACCTCTCGGTCGAAGTTGGACTTACCTAGTCGGACTATTGGTCCCAGGTAAACAAACTCGTCAACAACTTCGAGCTTAGTGCTCCCAACAACTACCGGCATAGGTGTGACATGGACATTGAACATGATCTTTGTTTTGTCCATGTTCATCTTAAGACCTATCCGTTGGGAGACACTTTTGAGGTCATTGAGCATGGTGCTTAGATCCTCCTGCGATTCTGCCATAAGGACTATATCGTCGGCAAATCGAAGGTGAAAAAATCGAAATCGAAAGTGATGTACTCGCCATTGATGTTAATACCGTATCCTTTCCAGTCCAGAAGCTTGAAAACATCTTCCAATGCAGCGGTGAAGAGTTTCGGGATATAACGTCACCCTGTCTTACACCTCTCTGCAATTGGATAGGTTTCGTACTCTGGTTCTGTACTCGGATAGCCATCGTAGCCCTACTGTACAAGCACTTCAGCACTTCGATATACCGACAGTCAACTTGGCACCGCTGAAGGGACTGCAGCACCGCCCAAACTTCGACGGAATCAAAGGCTTTCTCATAGTCCACATACGCCGGGCATAGTGGCAAATTGTACTCCTCGGACCTCTGTACAACTTGCCGAAGGGTATGTATGTGGTCTATGGTGCTAAAGCCCTTTCGGAAACCGGCTTGTTCGGGAGGCTGGAAGTCGTCAAGTGTGCGCGCGAGACGATTCCTAATGACTCTCGAAAACAGCACGTAGACGCGGCTCAGAAGGGAAATCGGTCTGTAGTCCTTCAAGAGAGCGTTGTCACCTTTCTTGAAGAACAAGACCACCGCACTTCTGCTCCACGCCTCCGGTGTAATGCCACCATGGAGGACGCAATTAAAGAGCTTCTGAAGGACTTCAAGTACAGGTTTTCCACCCGCTTTCAGAAGCTCCGCTGTCATTCCATCCCCGCCTGGGGACTTGCCGTTTTTAAGGTGCTGGAGAGCCATTCTAATCTCGCTCAGACTGACGTCCGGGATATCTTCAGAATAGTGTCGGATAAGACTCGCTCTTGGATCGTTACTCACACTTGCGTGTGGATCCAACGATGACGTGTATAGCTGCCCATAGAACCTCTCAATCTCACTCAAAATCTCAGGTGCCCCGGAAACGATACTGCCACACTCGGTCCTCAGCTTTGACAGTTGGCTCTTTCTGGCAGACAGATCTCTGGAAAAGACTTTGGAGCCTTGGTTCCGCTCGATCGCTTCTTCAATACGAGCAGTATTGAAGAAGCGATCGAGCGGAACCAAGGCTCCAAAATATGTCTGAACAGACATATCTCCAAATGCATACGGCGGGACTTGTCTGTATGCTGTCAAATCTGTTGAAGAATGTAGCTTCATCTCCCGTCTAACAGCCATGAGATTAAGAGTGTGATCTGAGAGTTTTTGTGTTCTTCTGCGGCGGGTCTTGCAGAAGTTAGCTCCGACCACATGAACAATTTCCACGAGCTTGTCATTTATATCGTCCACTTCATTGCAGTTTTCTAGGCACTGAAAACGGTTTTGTAACTCGAGCTGAAAGGTTTCAAGACTTTGGAACAGAGCACGAGGGGGACGGAGCGTTGACTTCATTAGACGAGACCTCTCCAACTTAACGTTTAGGTTCAGTGTGCTCTAACCATTCGGTGATCGCTACCAGTTTTCACCCTCGCGATCACGGAGACATCACTGAACAGTTGTCGTCTGGTCGTCATAATGAAGTCAATCTCATTTTTTGTCGAACCGTCGGGGCTCGACCAGGTCCACTTCCTGTGGGACCGCTTCTGGAAGAAAGAGTTCATCATAAAGAGTCCCTCTTTCTCCATGAAGTCGGCCAGCTGCTGGCCCCTTGAGTTCCGTTGCCCTATTCCAAATTTCCCTACTTTCAGCTCACCGTTCTCTCTTGTGCCGAGTTTTGCATTGAAGTCTCCCATTAACACCGTATATTGGGTTTTGGAGGAATGCATGGCTCTAGAGAAATCCTCATACATTTCATCCACCTCCTCATCGGGGTGTGCCGAGGTTGGTGCGTAAACCTGTATGAGCTTCAGCGAATACCGTTTGGTGATTCTAAGTATAAGTTACGCAACCCTCGTCGACACACTCTCGATTTTTACAACGTTGTTAACGAGTGACTTGTGGACGATAAATCAGACACCTCCTTGGGACAGATGGTCGCCTTCCCGGTGATAGAGCAAGTTGCCGGATTCTAGGATTACCGTGTCCTGCCCCTCTCTTCGGACTTCGGATAATTCTATAATATGCCAGCGTAACTTGTCTATCTGTTCTTCCAGCTCCACGATCTTCTCGTCAGTTCTCAGGGTGCGTGCATTGTACGTTGCCAGGTCAAGTCGTCTAAGGTGGCAACCGAACCTCCACCGGAGATTCTTAGCACCCCCTGCCCCGCCGTTACCATGGTCGCCACCGTAGGTAGGAATAGCGTGGCCGCCGGGGACAGGGGGTCTTGTCTTTGTTACTCTTTTCATACTTGCGAGTGGGTTGGCAACCGCAGTTTTTTTTTTATTGTAATTTCGGCTACTATCAGGAAGATGCTGCTGCCCATCTCTTGCCTGTTTCCCTTTGTTGCCTTTTACGACACCCACGGGAAGATGTGGGGTAGTGGATATTTTTGACCGCCACTACATGGCATCTTTATTTCGAATATCATTTGTTATTCGAAATAAAGATTCATTATCATTATTATTATTGTTATTTACGATGGTATTCTTTAGAGCGTGGTCCCACCTCGGTGGAGCCGACCCGTGTTACAACCATAGCCACAGCATGGCTCTACCATGTTGATACACTGTTGTTTTTTTTTTTAATAAAACTAAAGTGACAAATGAGCTTATAGTCTACTTGATAGTAAGTAGGTACTGCCGTCTATGGATCTCTGCAGGCAATTTCAAATAATTAAGGTTTCATGTAAGTTGTCATCTCTTAGAATTTAGTTGAAATACCTTTGCAGCTTTTAATTATATTGACTCTCGTATATCTTTCTGTAGGTTTATTCGATTAATTCCTGGATATTAAAATGCTACTTTCACTTTCTTATACCTTGCGCTGTATCTATAGCTTTTCTATAATAATTTATCAACGACGTGCATAACATATGATGCAATGTAAATCGATTATTATTTTGGTATTAATATAGTTAACTAACAGGTTTGCAGATTGGAACAAACAGTGAATATGAATATAAACAGAAACAGAAACAGAAACTTTTTTATTCAATATAGATAATAAATAATAGTTATTGAAAGTCACTCTTTTGTATGATTACCACTGGTTCGAAAAAAAAAACTTTTTTTTTTAACTAACAGCTTACAATCATGTATGTTACACAAATTAACAACACAATAAATTAGAAATAGCTTGGTAGCGATCACCTCATTTCCAGGGGTTATTATCATCTATAAATTCATTAATATTATAATAACCCTTTTTATACAAACTTAGATTAATAAAGTTTTTGAACTTTGAGCAGGTCAAATTTTGTATATTTTCTGGAATTTTGTTGTAAAAGCGTATACATCGCCCCAAGAATAAATTACTGACTCATGGAGTCGAGTAACTGGTACTACTAGCTTGTGTCTGTTCCTAGTATTTACAGAATGAATATCACTTATTTTTGTAAAACTACTTTTATTTTTGTGTACGTACATTACATTTTCATAAATGTATTGAGAGGCCAAAGTTAATATATTAATTTCCTTAAATTTTTGTCGCAGCGACTCTTTAGGCTTTAAATCATAAATTGCTCTTATAGCCCTCTTCTGTAAAACAAATATAATTTCAGTGTCAGCTGCGTGTCCCCATAGCAAAATACCATACGACATTATGCTATGGAAATAGCTAAAGTAAACTAGTCTAGCTGTTTCAACACTAGTTAGACTTCTAATCTTTTTTACGGCATATGCTGCAGAACTAAGTCTGCTTGCTAGTTTTGATATATGGGGGCTCCATTGAAGCTTCGCGTCTAGTGTGATTCCAAGAAAAATGGTGGTATCTACAAGACTCAGTTTCTCCCCATTTAAAATTACATTAGTATTTAATTGTTTGACATTTGGAGTCATAAATTTCATACATTTAGTTTTAGTGCCATTTAAATGCAAATTATTAACATTGAACCAATTTACTAATTTAGATATAGCATTATTTACTTCGTCATATTTTAGCAATTGTCGACTTAATTTGAAAATTAAAGAAGTGTCATCTGCAAATAATACTATATCATGGTTATCTCCTACTATGTAAGGTAAGTCATTAATGTATACAAGAAACAGAAAGGGGTCGAGAATTGAGCCTTGAGGCACGCCCGTTTGTACCATCGATCCGGAAGAGCTCATATTGTTAATGACAACTTTTTGCGTTCTCTTACTTAAATATGAAATAATTAATTTAAGAGCATCACTTCTTACACCGTAGTGTTGAAATTTCCTGATTAATGTTTCATGGTGAACACAATCGAAGGCTTTGGATAGGTCACAAAATATACCCAAAGCATCTTGTGAATTCTTCTATGCTTTAAATATATATTTAATCAGCTCAACACCGGCATCAGTTGTCGAACGACCCCTTGTGAAACCAAATTGATTTTTGTGAAGTAAATTATTTATATTAAAGAAATATAACATTTGATCAAGAATAATTTTTTCAAAAATCTTACTAAGTGTTGGTAGTACAGAAATAGGTCTAAAATTGGCGGGGTCTAATGTACTACCATATTTAAATAAAGGTATTACTTTACTATACTTCATTAAATCAGGAAATACACTAGATTCGATACTAGTATTAAAAATAATAGCTAAATGAGGCGCGATTGTATCTATTATAGACGCAATAATTTTAACGGAAATCCCCCACAGATCCGCAGTTTTCTTAACATCAGTAGTTTTAAAATATTTTACAATATCTTTTGATGATACTTTATGAAATGCAAAATTCTTTTTACACGTATTTACATTTTGTTTAAGTAATGATTCGGATAAATAATATATATATATTGTGTAAAGGGGTTATTATAAATCATGTGCTTTTTAGTAGTATGCGTATATTAAGTATTAACCTTTTTTTTTTTCTAGATTGAAAGAGAGCGTTAACATTTAGTGAAGCCTAGTTTTTCTGGTATATATTCCATAATTAATACTACATATTACTACTAACATATTTATTAAGAAGTGTGGTGAGCAACTATATTATTGTAATAGTGGAAGCTTTTATAAGTTTAAAAGTTATAACACCCTATTTCATCTTTTCAGGGGTTACATTTTCCAAAATTCTTCTAAACGGGTGTTTAAGTCGGGAAAGAGGTATATATGTCAAATTTGAAGTGAATCGGGCGTGTAGTTTTAGAGATGTGGTGTGTTGCGAGTCAGTTACAGCGGAAGCATGTAGAAATTTATACGTTGGCAGGAGTGTGTGCGGCACTTCCACGCGTGCGGGGCGGGTGCGGCGCGCGCGCCCGACAGCGTGCTGCGCGCGCACCCCGCGCTGCTGGCGTGCGGCGTGCTGCCCGCCCTGCGCGAGCCGCACGCCGCCGCGCGCCTCGTCACCTGCCTCCTGGCCGCCCTGCGCGCTAACGGTACCCACACTCACTATATACATATATATATACATTGACGGCGCTGCTGGCGTGCGGCGTGCTGCCCGCCCTGCGCGAGCCGCACGCCGCCGCGCGCCTCGTCACCTGCCTCCTGGCCGCCCTGCGCGCTAACGGTACCCACACTCACTATATACATATATATATACATTGACGGCGCTGCTGGCGTGCGGCGTGCTGCCCGCCCTGCGCGAGCCGCACGCCGCCGCGCGCCTCGTCACCTGCCTCCTGGCCGCCCTGCGCGCTAACGGTACCCACACTCACTATATACATATATATATACATTGACGGCGCTGCTGGCGTGCGGCGTGCTGCCCGCCCTGCGCGAGCCGCACGCCGCCGCGCGCCTCGTCACCTGCCTCCTGGCCGCCCTGCGCGCTAACGGTACCCACACTCACTATATACATATATATATACATTGACGGCGCTGCTGGCGTGCGGCGTGCTGCCCGCCCTGCGCGAGCCGCACGCCGCCGCGCGCCTCGTCACCTGCCTCCTGGCCGCCCTGCGCGCTAACGGTACCCACACTCACTATATACATATATATATACATTGACGGCGCTGCTGGCGTGCGGCGTGCTGCCCGCCCTGCGCGAGCCGCACGCCGCCGCGCGCCTCGTCACCTGCCTCCTGGCCGCCCTGCGCGCTAACGGTACCCACACTCACTATATACATATATATATACATTGACGGCGCTGCTGGCGTGCGGCGTGCTGCCCGCCCTGCGCGAGCCGCACGCCGCCGCGCGCCTCGTCACCTGCCTCCTGGCCGCCCTGCGCGCTAACGGTACCCACACTCACTATATATATACACATTACCCGCGCTGCTGGCGTGCGGCGTGCTGCCCGCCCTGCGCGAGCCGCACGCCGCCGCGCGCCTCGTCACCTGCCTCCTGGCCGCCCTGCGCGCTAACGGTACCCACACTCACTATTTTTTATACATTAACACTAACAAACGACCACACACTCCATCTAATAATACATTCATTCTCAAACGTCTACACATATCCTTGATTGAAGATCAAAATACAGATATGTTGTCAAATCTGACACCTATAGTTTATAAGATAAGATTCCAGTAAAAAAAAAGGTCTCCGATTTTTTACACTCACCATACAAAACACGGCGACATTAAACTGCTATTTTACACTGGTATTCTGTGAGAACGTGGCCCTACCCCGGTCGAACCGACCCATTCGCGTTACTACTGTCTAGCCACAACATGACCACGTATAAACTCGATATTCATTCATTTATACTTGAACTTAAATAAGCATTGTCATAGTAACTATATACCAAACTAATCAAAACTTGCTCATCTAGAAACCACTTCACATTTATTCATTATAAACAAATTTAAAAAGTAAGAAAAAATATAATGTCCTCCAAACCGAATTTTGATCACAACAAGCAGCCTCAGAGAAGGCCAACCATTGACGCAAGACAAGATTACAGTGTACAAGTATATGCACAACACTCTCTATTCCCTCAATCTCATAATCCAATGAAATGGTAAACCAACACGACCGATAAGCAGGACCAAATACCTTACATGCTTTCCGAAACACAAAAGTGAGCCACCACCAACTTCCTAACTCCGGACAACTACTGAAAATTTCTTGATAAAAAAACTCAATAACTGATTTTCTTTTGGCCTGACCCGAGATTTGACCCACAACCTCATAATCAACTGTCGCACTTTTTCTACCACCACAAATCACTGCCGATATTCTACGAAATTATCGACGCAAAAATAATACTAAATACATAGAAAAAAACAAACATTTTTGTAATATCAAATGACTTAAATCATTTTACTCTATTCAAGTGTTACAATTTAGTATATTCATACTATTTTTATATTAAGATATTATTAGTAATAACTATACTATCAGTAATAATAAAAATAAAAGTGATATGGTTGAGAATAAGTCTCTTACAAAGAATTTCCTAAAATAATACATTATCTCAATCATAGTACTATGTAACAATTCCATTTAATGTGTTGCCAACACTAGCTAAAACAAAATGTCACTGTTTTTTTACTGGCTTTACGGCTCTGGGTTCTAGCCCTTCTGAGAATGTCACTATGATACAAAGGCCCTTGAGCCATGCCAAAAATATACATTTATAGTATGCAAATTATATAATAGAGATACAATAATTTAAAAACTGTCAATTATGTATTATGTATTAAGCTAACATCAAACAACCACAGGAAGCATGATTTTTTCCAAGTGACATAGGACATAACCTAAAAAGGTTCAAATCTAAATATCTTTTTTTGACGCCTTCTCAGGACAAAATTCTTTGACAGAGTTATTAAGGGACTGACGCATAACATTTTAAGATATTTTTGATATATTTGCTACCATTTCTTCTCAACTAATTTTATGTATGAAAGTATGCCATTGTTCTTTACGTTTATGAAATTACTGTTGCAATACTGTTTTACAAGTTAAAATAATCAAAATTATAGATTATGAATGATAAAGTAGTTAGGAAAATATCTTCGGGCGGTATTTTCAAAATAGCATTTTGTGCAGTCTAGTCTAGTCTAGTTCTTCACAGTCAGTTGCATTTAAATACGCGCGTATTTGAATACACTTTTTGATCAACTTTTTGACACAGTAATGCGTAACTGGGTACAGCTAGTTTTTTATCCCTTTAAAGGTCGCGCTCTCACAGAATACCTACCAAGAATACTCACCAAGTGAGTTGGTGAGTCATTTGCTTCATTCATCACTTAAATTCAAACGAAAATTATTCTATCGATATCAAAAATTATTTTAACATTATCTATACATGTATCTACAGGAATAAATGGCGTCCACGCGTGTATCAACACTACGGACCAATACCTGCATCAGTTTTACAGCAAGCTGGGATTTGTGGAAATAGTTCGCGAAGGGGGAAGAGTGTTCCTCGCTCGATCATTCTAGCGGCCGATGAATAAGTTCTTGCACAGGCGTCGCCGTCGCATACACTGAACTGTGACACACCGTGACCCGTTAAGAACGCTCTGACCCTGCACAATTTGTCTCTGACCCGCACTGTTTCTCCTATGACCCACAATATTTCTAGTGCACTTTTTTTCTCAACCAAACTTACTTATCTACTAAGTTTAAATTTTATTAATATACCCTTCATACAGCTCAATCACATTAATCAAAACAATTGCAATCAAATACGTGGATCAGAACAGAAAACACAGATCAGATAACATCGCTTTATTTACACATATATTCAATAACTCTTTACGATTTAAATAATTCTGACTTGTTATATTTCGTTTGACACATACCCATAAAAAATTAGGGTTCTTTAATATTTGAGCCACACTTTGATTTAAAAAAAACACTTAAGTAACTTTTAATACTAAAAACTAAGAAATATTCAAAGAAGTTCAATAAATAAAAATTAACTGTTTTCAAACATTTAATTGAACCGTACACACAGTTTTTTTTATTTATTTAACTAGCGCTTTAAAAATTAGACTTAGATTAAGAAAAAATAGTGCTGCGTTTTATACATTTTTTGCTCCTTGTATTACTAAACAGAACATAGGCCTCGCCCATAGATTGCCACAAAATACGATACTGAGCCACCAACATTGAACACTGATATGAGCGTTTCATCAGGTCATCATTCCATCTAGTAGGGGATCGTCCAATACGGCGCTTTCCAATATGAAGTTGGCACACAAAATATGGCCGGCCCGTTGCTACTTCAACTTACTAAATCGCTGGGTTAAGTCAGTTACTCTTGTTCTTCTGGCGTATAGCCTCGTAATGGACTTTTTATCCCATCGCATAGCCCTTTACATCGCACGCTGAGTGACTTTGAACTTCCTCATACGGCCAACAGTTGTTTTACAATATTACATTTATTTCTTTAATAATTGTATGTGCTAATAATCATAAATTACTTGCATTTATAAAATAGCTTTCTGACTTGTATATTACAATTTATGAGCAACAACATAGTACCGTAAAATGGGGTGAATAGAAAGGATTTCAACTTTTGAATCGAAATTTCAGTATGTTTTTAGCAAATTCCGAAGGTAGCAGTCATCATGTCTTGTGAGTTAAAGTGTCATAAACTGTTTTCAATGAAAGATTAACTTAATTTTCTCGTCATTTATTTAATAAATTACAATATCTGCGCGTTTTCTATTTACCCGCGATATGGATGAATGGAGTCGAAAAGGGGGTCAATAGAAAAAAATGCTAGGGTTGTCAAAATTTATTTATGTATGTACCTAGAACATATACCTATAAATTATATATTGTATTGATAGAATCAGGCGTTACTTTGCGGAAATCCATTATCCGCTAAGCTTAGCGGTCAGCCGCCGTAGAGTCTATATTACCTGAGGATGCCTCGTGTAGAGGCGAAACACGTGTCGTATTATCGTCGATGGTGTGTCTTGCCTGGAATAGTGGTGTTGAGAGTAGTGGTGCTTGGTCTAGTGGTGACGGAGTTAGTGTATGCAATTGAGGGAGGGCGGGAGGTGCGCTTCAATCCAGGTAAGACACATCATTTTATATGTTTAGCGGAAAGTTGCAAAGAAATTTATATTTTTATTTTTTATTATATATTGTAGTACCATTAACTTTAAAAAAATAGAACAGGGATAGTAAATTATATTTTTATGCAAACAATTAGGGCCAATCACCCACACAATTTTTTTTTTAATAAACATAACAGTGAATTTTACCAAAAAATTATGTTTAGTACGTCAGCTAGATTATCAAAACATATTGTAACAACGTGTTTTTATTTTGTCACTTAAATAAAAAATGAGGATGATACAACGCCTTTAAACTTCGGATGATGTCACAAGATAGTACAACAAAATCCCCACTCCAGAGCGCTTTAATGCGCTTTACCAATGTCAAGTTTTATTAATTTAAGGAAGCAAAAGATACGTGGCTAACGTTTTTTGATGATCTAACTGACGGGACTAAATATAAAGAACTTATAAAGTGAAAAATTCTTTCTATATACGTACTTGTGTAATGCAAAAGAATCTAAATAAAATCAACTAAAAACAAAACCTATGTGATTTAACATAATAATCATAAAATAAAGTTAATATTTTTATTAATCATATTACGTACGTAAGTAATTATTATAATATTATTTGGAGCATTCCGAATTTATATTTAAATATTATAATCTAGTAAGTCTCTTAGTATAGCCTCATCGTCTTTATAATATTTGCTCGGTCTTGCAGTCTTCTTTAAAATTATTAAAGGCGCTTCAGGGGAAACATTTTTGTACTTTTGATCATACGTAATATTCTTGCGAGTTTCTAAAAAGTTTTTATTTCCTATTATCTTTATTTTTTCTCTTTTCATCTTCGGTAAAGTTTCAGTTATAACTTCTGCCACAGAATATTCTTCTTCGTTATTTCCTAACGAACAGTTTGATTCACCAGCATGATCAGACTGACTGACGTTGTTTAGACCGGTTTCTGTATTTTCAGCTTCTGCTGTAGAGTTTATTATTATTATATCACTTAGTGGACAGTTTTCAATAGTTAGTTCTCCTCCACATTCCAAGTCATTTTCAAAATATACAGGCATATCTAAAACACTGTCATTGAGGTCTATAATATCATTTCGTTTGTCTGTAAATGCATTGCCTGTGCCCATATTTTCCTCCATCAACATGCTTGCCTTCCTTTTTGTCTTTTTACCGATCCCTTTTCCTTTAATACTTTTGTTTAAGTTTGTTGTTTCTTTAGGCAATAGATTTTCTTTTTCCACTGAATTATCTGGCTTTTTTATTTTTCTTTGTGGTTTTGATGTACTCGGACCCGGTGTTACTTCGGAGTCAACATAATCCTCAGTAGATTCGCTAACACTCTTTCCTGCCACCACGTCGAGTTTTCGCTTTCTTTTTAATTCTTTTACGCCCATAGTACCATATCGCATGTCATTTAGTAAAGTTAGTACAGACTCATCCACTGCTTCCCTATGTCTACTGCTATTGTTCGATTGTGTTGGTATTCGAGATAGCACTTGTGTAGGGTCTAAAGGATAGATACCAGTTTTTTTAAAACCAGCTTTTAAATTAGACTCAGCATTTTCTTGTATTGCCTCCATTAATTTCTTCAGTAATTTAGGGAAGCAACCTTTTGGCACACTTGTCTCATTGCTGCCATCTGTCTTTTTCCACTTAAGAAGTATTTGCCGCCAAGCTGCCTTCATGGGCCTAAAAAAGGCTACATCGAGAGGTTGAGTTATGTGTGTTGAATTACTTGGTAAAAATACAAAATCAATTTGCTGTTCTTTGCAAAGTTTTATCATATCGACCGACAAGTGTGAAGATAAATTATCACCTATTAGCAGCTTTTTTCCCGGCTTATCAGCAAAGAAGGGTATGACGATGGATTGCACCCAATCTTCAAAAATTGTACCATCGAACCATCCTGATGCCGAACGATTATACCTTGCATCTTTAGGCCCGTGAGAAATCCATGTATTATATAAATTTTGTGCTTTGTATACCACGTATGGTGGTAAAATCTGGCCCTCTGCTGACCCAGCTATCATTAAGGAAACACTGGCCTTTGTGTGGTTCATGACACGTTCTGGATACTTAGTGCCGCGTTTCGTAATAATTTTTCTGCGCCCTGGATCGTCAGCGAGATTTGTCTCGTCATAATTGACGATATTTGCCGCTGGAACATCGGCCAAAGATATTTGTAGTTCTTCAAAATATTTTGTTATGGTTTCTGCTGACACGGCAGCTCGAGATCTCTTAATATTTTGGCATATTCGTTGAGAAATTTTATCTTTATGTCTATTTAAAAAACATTGGATGAAATCAGGCCCAGGGAAATTATTTTTGAATCGCTTATGAGTAATCCCAAGCTTATCCAGATACATTTTAACAATATATCTTAAGTCTAGTGAGTCCAGTGGATAGCCCCATTCTGCGCAAACGTTTATGTATTTGATGATATATTCTTCAGTTGTCAACGAAAGTGCCCTTTGCCCACCTTGCGATTTTACTAGTCCTTTGCTGTGGCGATACAAAACTGATGGGTGTATATTGTGTTTGATAGCTACAGTTTTTATCGAATCATTACCCATTAAATAATCTTCTACCGCTTGCTTAAGAACATTTTCGTCATACCTTTTATAGCGCTTGCCTCCAGGTTCAGGTTTATAAATGCGCGGCATTGTCCAAAATAATCTGAACAAACAAAATAAACATTTATTTTCAATACGAATGAAAATATAAACATTAACTAACTATTTCATAAAACTACAGTCACTAGGTACCTACAATCTTCCATAAGTACAAAAAAGTATCAGGTATAATTTTGTGTAGCAGCCCTAGCAATGACAATTCTAATCACCCCAGTCGTATTGCTACTCACCCCTCGTGCACTTCTATTCAGACTTTACGCGCTTCTATTTACCCCATACCTCGATTCTATCCACCCCTCAGGCGTCTTCTATTCACCCCAAACTTATTCAATTTATAGGTAGCATAACTTTTGGACTTATTTAGAACAGAAATCATGCTCAATTTGACTTACCTTTGAGTTTTCTTAATAGTTAAGTAACTAACACTTTGCATAAATTCGTATTGATGTCTGAATTCAATCGTAGTAACGAACAGAAATAAAAGTTTTACGCTTCTCAAATTCACAACCGTTACTTGATCACTTTGAGACATTATTTTTCGCATTTATGAACAACTTCACTATCATGACGATGTTGCCATAACACAATCAATGTTGCCGTATATAAAAAAATCAAATGTAGCTAATTTCATTGAGCACTGTGAGAGCAATAATGCAACGAACTAAGTTTCGCTTTTTGTTCTATTCCCCCCTTAAATTCTATTCACCCCATTTTACGGTATTTAGGATGCGAACTGTGTGGATCACAATGGAGAAGGTACTTTAAAAGAACACGGT